TTCTACTACGGACCTCCAAATAATTTTTCGGACACGCTCCTAAGTCCAAAATCACCATACAGAACTATTGAAATTATCAAAATTCGAATCCGAGGTCGTTTACACATAAGTCCACATCCGGTCAATTTTTCTAACTTAAATTTTTAATTATGAGACTAAGTGTCTCATTTCACTTCGAATTCCTTCCGAACCCGAACCAACTAACTCGGTAAGTCATAAAACAACTATAAAGCATAAATTGAATAGTAAATAAAGGAACAGAATTATAATACTCAAAACGATCGTTACATTTATCTTACTACATTACATTTCGTTACTTTATTGCACTTTAACTATAGTTACATTTAGGCTTTACTTTATAGTAATAGGAGTAGTGATTTTGTGATAAAGAAATATTCTGTGCGTTCAATTTTACTGATATACTCAAAAATAGATTTTCATTTTTACTTGTTACTTTACGCATATCAAGAGAAGACAAATTTTTTTCCCTGTTATACACATAGTATTTATTACTCATTTCAAATTATTTTTTTAAAATCTAATAAAATATACATCAATTAATATGAGTATCATGATAAATTATACACTTTATTTATTATTTATTAAGGGGAGTAAAAAATTAAAATGTGTCGAGCAAAAGTGAATTGTGGGAGTAGTAAGTGGGATTTGATGTATTTATGTTTTGTACCTCGGATATGGAGCTCTAGGGATTCCCTCTATATTGTCTGTCTGATTGTGTGTAACCATCTAAATATAAACAACAAAAAAGGAATGTAGAGTTAGACTTACGTGTACTGATGTTGGGTTCTGCTTTAAACTATAAAAAAAATATCTCTCTTTTTTTCTTGGACGTCTCGAGATTCATTTGTCATGTGCTGCTTTATTCCTCTGTCAGCTTCTAATTAGACTAAAAGAATATTGTCTCCCATACTTTAAATCTTTAATCACTTCCCAAACATTATCTAAAAGATTTACTATGTTGTATCTATTGTTATATTGTTTTTACACTATCAACATAATTTAACTAATTATTATAATAGGCTGTTTTTACACGATCAATATAATAGGCTGTTTATTATTTTTAGCAGGTTATTAATTAACATAATTTAGAGTTTTGCTTATACTTACATCGTAAACGATTTGATCGTCTAAATATTCTTATACACACTGACAGTTGTGTAAACAATAAGTTTAAGATATTTGTATTAGTGATGTAAAAAACATTTTTTTAACACATTCAAATCACTTTTACGATAATTACATGTATATTTTTATGACAAACAACAATTGATACTCCTATATTCTTTTTCATCGAAAACATTGATTCGTTAATGGATTAAGGACGAGATATGTCCAAAGGAGCGTACAACCTCATTTACAACCCAACTAGAGAATACATACTTTTCCAAGAAACATCATGTACTAAAGAAAATAAAAATTGCGATTATGAGCAATATAATTAAACATCGTAGGTATATATACAAAAGAAATATGCTCAAGGTATAAAGACATATTCCACATTTTTCTTCAACATATCTACTATCCCTTTCGATTGATACTCCTATATAACTTGATAAAAATAATACTCCACTAATTATTTACTTTCATATACGCTTAAATTATATTTGATAGTATAAAAGAAATTCGGTATATACCACTTAAATGCTTTAAAAATCGACTTACGTACGCTTCTTCTAGACCGAACCCTTCACGTGAAATTAGGAAATAAATAATAATAATAATAATAATAATAATAATAATAAATCAAATTCTCTTGCTTTATATCTTTTTCTCTCTCTTAAGTTTTTCTTCAACCCGTCAACCGGCCTTTTGTCTGCTTACTCTTTGTTTCAAAGGATTCCTTTCTTTGAGAGAGAAGAAGAAGAAGAAAAATGTTAGTAGGAGACTGTGAAAAGATGGTACAAATCTCTTCCACTACTAATGAAATATGGCCACAGCAGGTTCTTTTCTTTTATCTCTTTTGACCCCATTTTTGTTTCTTAGCTTTTGGAAGAGAATATTCATTAGTTTTTCTACTATTTTTTTTACCCTAAATCCATCACTCGATACCTTTCTTTCTTTCTCTTTTATTGTTTGTTTCCTCTCTTTTTTGCAGAATAATGAGAGTAGGGACATAGAGAAATCAATTAGCCAAGATCAACAACAGCAACAATCCCTAAAGTGTCCTCGTTGTAATTCATCAAATACCAAATTTTGTTACTACAATAATTATAGTTTGTCTCAGCCAAGACACTTTTGCAAAAGTTGTAAAAGGTATTGGACTAGAGGTGGTACCATAAGAAATGTCCCAGTTGGAGGTGGCTGTAGAAAAAACAAGAAAATCAAGAAACCAAATATTACTACTACAAATCCTAGCCATAATTTTCATCAACCTCAAATAATTGATCTGCCTCCTATAATCCCAAATCATAGTAATCCTAATTTGTTTTATGGATTTCCAACTAACCCTTCTGATCTTAATACTCAATTTCCAAGATTGCTCAATTCTAGGGTTTCTAACACTGAAAATCTTGGACTAGGGTTTTCTTCTGGTCAGATCCAAGATGCTATGACTACTACTAACTCTAATTCACATCTTTCAAGTTACCCCATCTTAAATTCTACTTTGTCCTCCCTTATAGCTTCTAATCTTCAACAACAACACTTCATTTCAAACAATAACAAGTTCCAGGATTTGTGTCCTTATAGTTGTGAAGGTGGAAATTGGATAATGTTGAAAGGAGTGAAAATGGAAGGTGAGAACCAAAACAGGTTGGATTGGAACATTTCTAACCATCAGATCAATCAGATTGAACAGATTAATTCTGTTGATCCTTCTCTTTCTTGGGCTGGTACTTATGTTGATCCTTCAAATATAGAGTCTTCAGTCCGTTCTCTGATCTAGGTCAAATTAAAGCATTTGGCTTTTCCTTTTTCTCCTACATTTTCTCCTTCCTTTTTATTAATTAGGGTCTCTTATACTACTGTGTGACCATCTCGTTGAACAGCTTACAATACGTTTTTTATTTACTTAATTTATGTTCAACATGTCTCTTTACATGAGTGTGTTCGATTTTTTTAATGGATTAAATATGTGAATGTTTTTTCTATAATGGGTGCGCGGTTATACTATGGTATCCAAGTAGACATAAGTTGCTTGTTCGAGAGGGTCCTAGGCTTGAGTCTCGCTACTGAAGCCTGTTATCAAAAAGAAGTTTCATGTGTTTTGATGGTGGAAAAGAATCTGATTTGTATATAAAGAAAGACGTGTTGAAGACATGATTAAGTTAATAATAATATATTTTTTCTTAATCCTTAAACTTTTAGATTAGATGGTCGTGATCTTTCCTAAGTAACTGCTTTTGTTTGGTTTGCTGAGTCTGGAGTTTCGTTGGGTTCTCAGATTTAGAACAATGAAGTTTACATTAACGCGGCTTTGAAGGAGACGAACTTTGGATCATTTTCTTCTCGTCATCTCAAGTTTTTCCTAAGAAGAGAACAAGTTATACATACATAGTTTCTTTGAAGGAGAACTCTGGTACATTTTGCAATACCAGTGAGTTTTTACGATCTTATTTTGCATGTCCATAGATGAAGACATTGAAGCTTATGATGTTTCTTTTAGGATGTGTATTAGATTTTGGGATGTGTGTTACAATGTTGGAATCCTCATGCAAGTGAAATTACTTGTTCTTTTAAATACTTTCTTTTTTCATTTTTGAGAAGTTCCTCATCTTTATAGTA